GATCGTCGTGACCGCTGGTGCGTGCCAGCACAGCGTCATCGCCCTCACCCTCACCAAGCAGCGACGTGCGGGGCCGCACTGCATGTGGTGACACGGACAACGACGACTTCTTTTGTTGTTGCTGCTGCTGCTGCTGATGTTGTTGCTGTTGTTGTTGCACTTGCGCCTGCATGTGCGGCGGCAGTCGAATATCTGAGAGATCTGACTTGAGGCGTGACAGCACGGCAGCAGCCGGTGCGCGTGTGCTGCTCGCTTCCCGCGACCACGCGCGCACGCGTCCAAGCACCCGACGCATGTCCTGCCAGTGCTGCGATCCGCGCTTTGCGCCCGCAACAGCATCGTAGGCAGACAGCAGACCACCATCGCCGCCACCAGCACCGTCGCCACCCAGCAGGGGCGTGCTGCCTGTGTGCGATGAGAACGACGTGCGAAACTCCTGGCTCTTTGCACGGCGCTTGCGGTTGATGTCATCATCATCACCGCCACCATCACCACCATCGCTACCATCACCACCATCACCACCATCACCACCACCAATGCGACCGTCCTTGCCACTGACTGGTGAGCGGGTGAGAAGCGGGTCTGCTGTTGTGGGGCGATTGCGAGGTGATACACGTGGCGACACGCTCTTGCGCAGCGGCAACGCGCCTACACCAGCGAGACCGGCTGGGCTGCGGCTGCGTGCAATGTAGCGATCACCATTTCCGCTGTTGTCGTTGTCGTCGTGCGGCTGCATGGATGGCACAGGCGTAGTGGTTGCAGATCCAAATAGCGACACGCAGCTGCCGCCGCCAGAGAACCCGCGTTGCCGTAGCAGTTGCTGCTGCTGCTGTCTGGAGTGCTGGATGGTGAGGATGTCGGCCATGTGTGGAAACGGAATGCGCGGGTCTGACCACCACTGCTCGTCCCACTGCAGCATGTTGGCAATCGCAGCAGACGACGACGGTAACAATGACGACGACGACGACGCTGACGAGTGCATGGAGTGTGCCGACAGTGAGGCAGACAGGGAGGACGAGAGCGCCGTAACGGTGGCGGCAGTTGGGGCATCGAGGTGCTTGAACCACACGGCATCGTCAGGGTGCGCATCATCATCATCATCATCAGCATCGTCATTGTTGTGGTTGGAGGCATGCAGCAACACGGTTGTTTTCGTTGCCCCTGATGCTGTTGTTGTTGCTGTTGTTGTCACCGAACCTTTGCTCTTTCCCTCTTCACCCGCGTCTCCGCTGTTGTCGTCTTCATCGGCAACTACACCCGCTGCTGCTGCTTCGTCTGTGTTGATCACGTCTGTGGTGAGAGTGATGCTGGGGGTGCGGTTGTGTGACTTTTTCGATTGCTGTTGTTGTTGTTGTTGTTGATGTTGTTGTTGTTGTTGTTGTTGTTGTTGTTGTTGTTGTTGTTGTTGTTGTTGTTGTTGCTGTTCGTTATCTCCATCAGCATCAGCGTCAGCGACATGTTCCCCGGTCTCCTCCTCACCCTCCTGCCGCTGGTCAGCAGCAGCAGCAACTGCGTCTTGCAAGGGCGACGGAGAGCGAGATGCGTGCGATGACGCGCCAGCACTCGACGGCGATGAGTTGACGGTCACAATCACGTCCTCGTCACCAAGCAGCGCCTCCTCCAGGTGCGGGAATTTGTACGCAATCAAATCCTCCAGCGAATACAACTGCGACACCTGTGCAATGTGTGTGTGTGTGTGTGTGTGTGTGTGTGTGTGTGTGTGTGTGTGTGTGTGTGTGTGTGTGTGTGTGTGTGTGTGTCAATGGGAGTCAGGACAAGGCTTCGTGACAAGACCACCACCACCACAGACACCACCACCACCAACCAACACAGCCACCACCACCACCAACCAACACAGCCACCACCACCACCAACCACCACCACGCACCTCGAGCGGGGTGCTGTTGAGCGAGTCGTTGATGACCCGCAGGAGCTCCATCTGCTGCATTGCCGTCGATTCGTTCACGGCAAACAGCACGTCCTCCGCCACAGACAGACACGCGCGGTCGTCCTCGTCCAGGTAGTCCTGGTCCAGCCATGATGCCAATGGGTGGTGGCGGTGACGTGAGGGGTGAAGAGTGATTAAAAAGTGCGAGAGTGTGTGTGCGCGAGTCAGCGCGCCAGGCAGTGAGAGCGCTTGGAGTTTGTAGTGGGTGAGGATGACAACCAGTAAGCGCCAACCGATCACCATTCATTCCCACACAAGGCAATTAACCACCATCTCTCACCCTCACTCTCCCCCTCCAGCTGCATTTGCGTTGCCTGCAGGCAACTCACATCGACAACAAAGGGCCAAGTGACGAAAAAGGGGCGTGGCGTGCCCCAGAACATATGGTCCCAAAACGCCTGGTCCCTGAGCAGCTGCAAGTCCTCCTTTGCGCGTCTGTACTCGTCCTCGTCGTCCACTTGCGCCAACATGTGTTCGGCGTCGTCGTCATCGTCGTCGCCAGCAACCAGCTGGTGTGGCGGTGGACGGTGGAAGGTGTCAAGGTCATGAATGGTGTGAGCTGGCGGTGCAAGGCAAGGTTGGGCAAGGTTTGCCCACGTTTCGATATGATTCATCGCGGTAACAACCAAGGATGCACGCAAAAAAAAGGGGGGGGCACACAACACGCATGAACACGCATTCACACGCGTACACACATACACACACACACATGTGCACACGCATGCACACACACATGCAGCACCGATTTGGACACCGCAACAGCATCGCTTGCGTGGTGGTGGTGGTGGTGGTGTAACCTTGTCGTAGACGTGTGGGAGGGTGTCACGGAGGAGGGCTCGAAACTCAAACTCGGCCAGCTGCTGATCCTGCCGGCTCTCCTTTGCCTCTTGGATGTACTCCTGGTGTTGATGATGATGATGATGATGATGATGATGATGATGATGATGATGATGATGATGATGATGATGATGATGATGATGATGATGATGATGATGATGATGATGATGATGATGATGATGATGATGATGATGATGATGATGATGATGATGATGAATGATGATGATGATGTTGATGTTGTTGTTGTTGTTGTTGTTATTGTTGTTGTTGTTGTTGTTGTTGTGGTGGTGGTGGTGGTGGTGGAGATGGTGATGATGATGAGTGGTGTTGCGCGCTGACGGGTGTAAACACTTCGCACTTTGCACGCAACACCATGCTTTGCAAGGTCTCACTCACAGCTGCTACCTGTCAGCACAACGGAGCACAACAGCGTCCCTTCCCCTCTTAACGCACATGTACACACGTGCACACGTGCACACACGTGCACACACGTGCACACACATGCACACACACATGCACACACACACATGCACACACATGCACACACATGCACACACACGTGCACACCTGTAGGTTCTGTGCCAGGTCTTCCTTGTGTGGAAACCACCGTGTGCCACCACCGTGACCGCGACTGCCATCATCATGGCCACCATCATCATCACCGGCATCACCATGGCGTTGTTGGCGGTGCAGACCGCTGCGTGCGCGCGTGTGTCTGTCGTTGTTGGCGTGCAGCTGTGACGGCGGTGGCGCTAATCTCCCACCAGCCGTCTTCGCCTTTGCACGTCCACCTCCTCGTTTCGCTGTTGACGATGATGATGATGATGCTGATGCTGACAATGGTAACAGCAAGGACGGTGCGTCTGTCTCCTTGGCTTCCACATCCGCCCCTGCTGTGTGCGCGGCGGATGATGATGATGATGAGGATGCGCGTGCCGACGCCGCGTTGCTCGTCATTGCGCCCAAATCATCGTCATCGTCGTCATCATCGTCATGCACCCACGGCTGCCAGGGCTCCGGGGCAAAGGGCCAGTACACCAGATACGGCATGACGTGTGATGCACTGCACGAGCGAATGGTCGTGTGTCGTCGCGTTTGTGTTTTGTATGCGTGTGTGTGTTGGGGTGAGAAGGGCATGGTTGAGACGTGACGGACATGCTCTCTCCCTTTCTCGCACACACACGCACACGCACACATACAGTTACACGCACACACACACACATGCACATGCACATGCACACACGTGTCGACCGCACCTGTCGTCCTTGTCCTCATCGCCACCGCCAACAAGTTCCTCATCCACGGCCTCGCGCGCGTGTGCGTGTGCGTGTGCGACGCCGCCCGCTTTCCCAAGATGGAAAGTGCGAGCGGAATCAAACGCCGGCAGCGGCACGCCCGCCTCGTCAATGTGCCGATCAATGTGCTCGATTTGCTCATCCGAAAACTCTGCAATGCCGTGCAAGTCCTCCATGTGCGGCGCCAGCCCCATGCTGTGCAGGAAAAAGCTGCAAACGGCGGCGTGGTTGTGTGTGTGTGTGTGTGTGTGTGTTGTGTGTGTGTGTTTGTGTGTGTGTGTGCGTGTATGTGAGTGTACATGTGTGTGTGAGTGTACATGTGTGTGTGTGTGTGAAGTTGGAGCGCCGTGGGAAGAACGGGCAAGTAATCAACATGAACACTCACGCGCAAGCACATACGCGCGCGCGTCAAGTCGCCCATTGCATGTGTGCGTGTATGTGTGAGTATGTGGTGTCTCACCTGAGACCATGCAAGCAGTAGATGAGGCGGGGTGTGTTCTTGCGATCATACACGTCCGTCACTGTCGGGTGGAAGAACTGCACACAGCGAGAGAGAGGACGAGACAAGTGAGGCCGTGGAGGTGTGTGTACACATGTGTGTGTGTTGGTCCAAACGACAGATGAGAGCGCGTGGTGACGCACGCAATCATCGTCTCACACACACACACACACTCTCTCTCTCATAAACGCACACATACATGCACACACGCGGGCGTGTTCGCACCTCTGGGAACTTGATGTCTGTCATTGCGTTGAGGAAGCGGGTGATGTTGTCGACGTGGCGAAAGCGCAGGCCGCGTTGCTGGCAGGATGGCGTTGAGGTGGCCGTGACGGTCGAGGGCAGGCGTGAGGTAATTGGGTTGTGTGTGTGTGTGTGTGTGTGTGTGTGTGTGTGTGTGTGTGTGTGTGTGTTGTTAGTA